AAGAGTGCTCACCTATAGCTCTCTATATGTGCAGTTCACACTATGGCAGAATGAAGTAGTCTTTTTGCAGTTAACACTAAACAAAATGATTCCGTTTAAACCTTAAAACAAAAGAAATAGATGAGGCAAAAAATCTACCATATGGATAAAATCTGGCAAAACGTGACATCTTAAATATTGTTCTATGGGACTTGAGAATAAATGTAACCATATTATATCTATGATCCTATTTATGAGAATATTATTTAAAATAGTTCATATGTACACTTAAAAAAAAAGTTAATGTTTAAGAATATACAGAAACGCTGCACACCATCCAAAAAAGTAAATGTTTCTCTTACCTTATTTTTAAAATTAGAATGATAGAGATTCCTCATAGATACATCATCACACACATAAAAATAAAAATAAAAATTCAAGGTATGTTTCCAAGTTACAGAAACTTCTGAACAAAAGATAGATTTTCTGGTGTGGTATGGCTGTTTTATGCCATAACCTGTTCCTAATTTAAATCAGCTGTCTCAGGGAAGATCATTGTAATTGAAAAGTGATCCTCTGGTAGCAGAGAGCTGGGGAAGAAGAGGTGCATTTCTATAGCATTGAGATGATTCGGAGAGCGTCTAAAGACATCATATAAGAGATCCTGAGTAAGTGTATATCCTAGTAAAAATGGACTTTGTATGGCTCAAAGAAAAAGGGACTGAAATTAAAAACCATCATAGTTTAAGAGCAGAACAAGGTAACTACATGTATACTCTCAAAAGAGGAAGTAATGTCCAAATAAGGCAAATTAGATAAACTATAAATTCTGGCAAGTTAAATGTAAACCCTCAATGAGGCAGGCCAAAGGAGAGTCTGAAAAGCAACATGTTAAAGGCATAAAAACTAATAATAAAAAGTTCTTTCAAAATGCATCAGAAGAAATGATCAAAGCATAAAAGGAGCATCAAGGAAGGTAGACTGCAAAAGCAAAATGAACTATTTATATCTGTGTTCACTAGAGAAGTGTCAGGGAGATTTTATTACTTGCAGATGAACGATCTTAAACTGAATCAGCACTAGAACAAACTGATACATTAAACATTGCCAAATTCCTAAGAGCAGATGATACTTGTCCACTGAGTTCTAGGGGAATGCAATTATGATGTGGCTAAAGCAATAATTATTGAGCATATTCTACTGCTTAACTAAACATCCACGCAAGAGGTAGAGAAGGTAAGAAATGCAATTCCCCTTGCAACCTACAGGAGATACAGTAAGCCTCTAAGGGGAAATTGAAAACAGCTACAGTCAATGATAGAATTAGTAGGCATTTAGGTAATAGTAATTGGGGTAAGAGTTATGTCTTAACACTTACAGAGAAAGCAAGCCTTATAAATTTATTAGAAGTTTCTGAAGGAAATGAAGGAAGAGGGATCACATGATATCTCTGTGCAAAGAAAGTCCTCCAACAATTTTATGCAAATGCTTTGAGGAAACTAGGTTATGAAAGAAGGTTCTCTCATAGGTTAACAATCCATCAAAAGTAGGAAACAGATAATAATATTGGTGAATTTTCACTGTGGGTTCTCCAGAACATCCCCAAAAGACTTGGCAGACCACCAGTAGTTTTAGGTGATAATGTTTGTTGATGATGCTGAATTACTGATACTAGGCAGTTCTAAAGCGGTAACACCATTTCTGAGTGGAAAAGAAGGTAAACAAGCACAAACTAAAACACAGTATACAAAACAGGGGGGAGGACAGTTTTAACTGTTTATACACAGTGATGGCTACGACTGAGAGCTTAGAGTTAATGGTAGAACAGCAGAGAGCAACAGAAACAAGAAAAAACCCAAACATTAAGCTGTGTAAATCCACAGTGTGCCCAAGACCTGTAGTCCTGCATGCAGTTCTTACTCCATCTCAAAGAAAAATACAAAAGGCACAGAGAGGGGCAAGAATAATCAGAGGTAAGAAATTATTTTCATACCAGGAGGAATACAGAGGCCTGAGACAGCTGAAGCCTTTAAACCCAGAAATGGGTCAGAGACTACAAGTAAGAAAAGAGCTGCTTTTATTTCTCACAGTGCAAGAACTAGGGGTTCCCCAGTGAATTTATCGGTTAATACGTTTAGAGCAAAGAAAAGGGAGTGCAATGCCTGATGAAACTGTGGGGTTCACTACCTGAGTGCCAAAGGTGTAAGATGGTTCAAAAAAAGCTTTTAAAAGTTGATGCCTGGGTAGGTATCCTGGAGGCTTCTACACAGGATGGGTCAGATACAGCTGTTGAGATCTACCGACTCACCAGGGCAAGGTTGGCTCTCAAACCCCTCTGCTCCTCGTTCTCTTCCTTATGCAGCCACCAGCCAGGGGATGAGAGGAAGGTAGGCAAGATAAGGCTGCAGCCTGACCTAGGGAAGCTGTTCTTCAGCTCCTGAGCCTGGCTGTGATTGCAGATCCTGTAGGGTATGGCCAGGTATGTGCAGGTTACTCAGCACAGCTGAGGTGGATCCCAAATAGTGAAATGCTAAGTGAAGCTTTATGCATTAGTACACAAACACAGCAAGTGACCCTAGATGGTGGCTAGATGTACCCCATGGTCCAACCAGTTGCTGTAGTATATAATATAATGTATGTAATATAATGCAATGTGACTGAAACTGCAACTAGTAGCTCTGTAACACGAAGAGTAATATCTAAAAAATAGACTTTGTTTTTATTTCCATTTGAGTAAAATCTATGCTCAGCTGAATGAGGGCCATAAAGTCAAATTCTGATAAGTGTAATTCTCAAGATTTACTGTTTGCTGTAAAAATAGTAAGTGCAAGAGATCTCCCTCCAACACCCTTTTATTTTTCCATTATAAGAAGAAACATACAGAAGCTCCAATGTATCAGGGAAAGCACTGTACTGAATATTTTCATAGCACGATTTCTGAAACGGATGTCTGGCCAAAGCAAAATTCTAATCAGCTCAATCTGTATCTAACATAGAGAATAAGCAGTTATCAACACACCAAAGTTATGGTAGTTAGAAATGTTTTATAGGGCATGCCTGTTCCTTTAATTGCATCTGTATTTAAATCTGTGTTAGCATCATGCATGTTTTCTTTCCTATCCACAAACTCTTTTTTCTATATCTGTTCTCTTCTGAAGTCTATAATCAAGTTTCAATTGGATCTTAAAATGCAGAGTTGTGTTTTGGTGAAATAAAACACCAAACACGTAGCAGCTTTTCACGGTTTTCTTCATTTAGCCTGCCAGAGAAAATCAAATAAAAAAATAATCGGCACTGTCACTTGAAGAAAAGAAAGAAAGAGAGAAGAAAGAAAGAGAAATACTTAAGATGGGTCTTAGCCAGGAGCATTTTATCCTTTATTCATCAGTGGTAAATGAGTCAGATATGAGCTGGCCAGGAAAAGAACTGCTTTACCCAAAATCTGAGTTTAAAGTGAGTCATCTCACTCCAAACACCAATATATCCTCCAACATAACTGGCAAGAGTTTCCTGCAAAGGGACTCTTGCTGCCGCTCTCTTCATCTGGAGGCCTGACCATCCAAAGCTGAAGTCAACAGGATCTCTACCATCAATTCAGGGAAACGGAGTTAGAGATGCAGGCCAGAATTATCAGCCTGGCTGACCACGGTGGGAATTAAGAGAAAGTAAATCGGCTCCTAAGCATGATGAAAGAACCCTTCAGGCTGCCCTGTCAGCCACGGTGCTTTCTGCTCTGATCCCGCCCTACCTATCACAACCAACATTCCCAAACAAACACTCGATGCAAAGGCTTGCAACAGATCTTCAGAAGGTGGCCCCCATCTACAACGGGGGGAGGCAGGGTGCATCTGCAGTGGTGCTATCAAGAGGGCTTGAGAGCCCAGATGACTCCTCATGCCCCTGCAGCTCTGTCATTTACCCTAGACAGGGGCTGCAGAAGGAGCGTTGCATACTTGGTCCATACAACAAACATAACAAATGTGAAAAAAACAAAGTCGGACTTATCGCTACATTACTGCAGTTTGTGTTGGTATGTGCCTACGAAATGAATGGCATGTTTTCGTGAAATGAATGAAATTATACTGGCATGAAACCAGAGTGTGCAATGTTGAATCAGTCCCTGGATTTATGATCCCGTGCTGGACTTTCATTCATGCTCAAAACACAGCCAGGTCCTCTAGGTCTCCCCGCAGCTCAGAGGACCCTCAAAATCAGACCTTCAGGGTGACCATTTTAATTCCATATTCTTCCTTACATTAAGAAGGAAGAAAACAAAGAGAATGATGTCCCAAAGCCTCAGAAAACCTAACTATCAATTTTGGCCCAGTGGGATAGCACTTATGTTGTCCTGTCACTCTCTGATGGCAATCTGGCTTCGGGTGACTTCTTTGTGGGTTACGAATGTGGAAACAGGCTTAGGAACGCATGCGTGCATAGGGGGTTTTTTGTGCTGCTGAAAAATCTCTGGAGCACCACAGAAGATATTTCAAACGAAGCCATTTTTCCACAGAACAATTCATCACGACAGATTTGTCCCTATAAGAGTCCAGAACTGATGAAGTGTAATGAATCTGGCAGCCACATGAATTCCACTTGTGTACATTTCAGCACATCAGTTTTTTTCCATTTCTCTCAGCTCCGCCCTGAAATTGTGTTTTCAGAATGGGTGGAAGCTGTCACAGGTTATCAGCAGGTAGGTAATAAATACAGTAATTAAGTGCAGCGTCAGTCAAAGGGTTATTCTGTTCAAACCATGTAGGATCAGGAGTTTCTCTCAATGGCTGTAGTTTTAAGTGAGTGGAGGCGCGTAACAAACAAAATTCTTGGTTATTCTGAGCAATGTAAAAATACACACAATTAACCACACCCTTTTTCAGACAATTTAAAGCTTTGCTTTGTTTGACTGCGTTAGTTCCAACGATTTGACTAAAATCCTTTATATTTCAGAGCTATGCACACACGAGCAGGCACCTTTCTGTCCCTGGCTAGAAGAAGTGTCCTGTAACTGTCACAAATTTATATGACAAACCTTACATTATTCCTTATCTGAGCACTGATTAGCACTCTTACAAATCTAAAATATGTCTCCCGTTCGTCACGGATTCTTCCCTAAGCTTTTATGGATTTGTTTGCAATAATACTAGCACAACAATAACCATAGCATATTAAATTATAATTACAATTGGAAAGGTAATTATGCAAATACTGCGAACTTTACTAGCTAGCTCTGCTCCCTGTGTGTCCCTTTGAGCCATGTCTGTTAACTCATTGACAGATGAGCACTCCCACTGTTGTGAGAGACGTTCACTCCAAAATGCATCCATAGCTTTTAGCACCGCACTATTCCCCCGGATGCCTATCAGCTCAGTTCGGATTAAAAGAGCCAACGCGGGAGGCAAGAACCAAATCAGACAAGTAGCTGTGACAACGTAGGAGCCATGGATCCTTCTGGCTCCACTCCCACCACTGCTCTGCTTACCCACAGCTCCCTCTTTTCTCTCCTGTTGCTACACAGCTCTGCTCCACAGCCTGCAGGGAGCTGATGAGTCTCCTTATAAGGCTTTTTTTTTTTCCTTTCCTCCTCCCTCCCCTGTTTTCTCTGTGTGATGGAAACTGAATGGTTCCACTGCATTTTGGGTCTTCCTCTACTGGTGAAGGCTAGGAAAGTTTGTCCTTAAAACGAGTAAATAGGAAACTCCAAGAACTTCTGCAGTGGCTTTTCTGATTCCTAACAACTCTTTGAAGAAATAGTGTTTTGTAGATGACACAGTATTCAGTGGTGATCAATTTTTTTCATCTCTAATGGGCAAAAAACACAACAGCAGTTACTGTATCATTTTCTCAATTTGTGAAATTGAAAGCATACTTCATTAATGTAAAAAACACCTGACAAGCTGGAAAAAACAGTGTTCTCATTCTTTGCTGGTGTACCTTCATCTTGGTACACAGAAAATGTTGGCCCTAATCCTGGTCAGTACTGCTTTAAGTTTTACACTGGCACCGTTCCATTGCTTCCAAGGAAGTAACTTTTAATGCCTAATATCATTTAATAATTATTTAAGTCCATCCTTATTAAATTTATCTGACTGTGTGTTGTGTGTTAAATGCCTTCCTAGAAAATTAAAACTAAAACCGGTTTGAATAACTTCCAATGAGAACACCACAGTTGATTACACTTGATCACGTCTATTTTCCTCATACGGATATTGCACTTTTTATGTAGTGGACAGCATTAAACATGGGGAGAAAACAAGGTTCTTGGACTAATCATGAACCTTAGTAAAGAACTACACATGCCAAAAAAATACCTGTTAGCATAGAACACCTCTGCTTCCAGCAGCCGAGTGAGAGAACTCAAATCCAGGGATGAAAAATTCCAATTAGCAGACAATTTTGGAACAACCCTTAGCCTAGCAGTCTTCATCTCACTTGACTGGAGCGAAAGCCTTGCTGTCTGCAATATTTGCATAGGCTTACCTGCTGCCTTCCTGAGGGATACACTGCTCAACATCCACTGTAAGAGAGGCCATAGCAGATACTGTTTCTGTCTCCTCCCTCTCTTGTTTCTGAGACTCAGCCAGAGCACAATCCACTGGCACGGAGTATGGCTCCACTGACTTCCAGTACTTGCCTAAGGAAAACACACATAATAATTTATGGGAATTTTAGCTAGGATGGTGGTACAAGCATAGTAATCACTTAGTTCAACACTGGGTGATTATAATTTAAAATCACTGTGGTGTAAGCAGTACAGTTGAAATTTCAGACTGCAGTGAAGAGGTATATTTCTGAACCTAAGAATGCCAAGTTGGAAAGTGCTTTCATTCCAAGGGCTGTGTCACACCCTTCCCCAGAAGGTAATAAACTGGAGGAGTAACACACAGGCTAATGAACTCATACTGTCAGACAAGCTATTGGCTTTATCTATGCAAGGTGAAGGGAGTTCAGGGCAGGGTTAATACCTAGAAGCTCTGATAAGGCAGACAGTTGATGCATATACAGCAAATAGGACTAGAAAAATGAACATTGTTGTACAAAGTGCTCACACAGCACTGTCTTGAAAAGGAAAAAAGTCAGAAATGCCAGCTTGGACTGAAGCGATGTTGCCAGAACAATCAGGTTTGTTAGTCCTGGATGTTCTTTCTCCTCCAACCTCAGGGCGTACACTAGAACAATAATTTATTTAAAACTTTCATATATGAACTGGCTGTTGCTGGAAAGCTGCCAGATATCATAAGGAATAGAGCTTTCTGGTTTGCTGTGTGAAAACACAGCAGTGGATTAAAAACATGAGTATTCTCAGCTTTCTGCCTGCAACAGAAGAGACAGTGAGAAGCTTCTCGAGCAACACAAACAATAATGGCAGGTCACTCATCGTCAACATATCAAATGATCTGCTACTGCAGTGCTATTAAGAAACAGAGGATGATTAGTGGTAACCAGGTGAACAAGTAAGAATTTACGTATGTATTTCTTACAGTCCAGTAATCCACCGAGCACTCATTAATTGCCAGGTGGATGACACCTGGAAATTAGGAGCTTTGGGAAGGCTGGGAGCTCTGGACCAGAGCTTATTCAGTGTTTAGCAAGAAGCTTCCAGCAGCTGCTGCAGAGGTTGGGTCAGGGTACTTATCTGGGAATTAGACAGAGGGCTTCAACAGCTGTGAAAGAGAGGGGATCAAGTAGGGAACTTTTCCGAGGGCTAAAAGGAGGATTTTGGCAGCTGGGCAGCAGGCTGAGTCGAGGTGCTTATCCGGAGGGTAGCTGGAGGCTTTGACAGCTGGGAGGCCAGGCCAGTGGTGGTGTTGCCTGTGCTGCACAAAGGCTGCTGAAAACTCCCTCTTTGGTAACACAGCTCTCAACACAGTTTCAGGCTTTTCAAAAGATGAACTTTTCCCTCCAGTGAGAAAGCAGCTGTCAATGAAGCCTGAAAATGTCTTTATTCAAAAACATCATTGCAAGATGAAAGCCCAAGTCAATGTGCAAGAACAACCAGTGAGCATGGCCAGAGTGTTTCTTTGAACTCTAATAGTGTGCACGTTTGAGTAGTTAGCAGAATCTTTAAATAACAGGGACCTTCTGGGGATAAAATGTAAAGTATATTAAGTATCCTACAAAGTTGAGATTAAGTGTTAGGAGATTGGCTTTGCTCCAAAGGCATGAAAGACACAGCTAAAAAGTTATGTACATAACAGTAGGCTCAATGATTGGATCCTGGCAAATTTTATAAAAACGAGACAAAAATATTCTCTATTATTACTGTGCTCAGAGACCATATTCTCTATTCATTAAAAAATACACTAAAAACAAACAAAAATGTTATATGAGCATTCCACAATGTTCTCACAGATCATATGTGCAAAAGTCAGTCTTTGCAATATACACCCAATTCAAACCCTATAATTTATGAGCTAAATGTTCGCAGAGTGGGTGGGGTTTTTGTTGCAGAAACAGATGTGCAAGAAAATCAAATCTGTTGGCATGGGAATAATACCCCCTCTTGCCTATAAAAGAAATGAACCCATGTTCACTGCTGGAGTTTTCAAGGGCTCTTATTCATAAAATAAAATATTAGTAACCAGCTACCACTGTGTTGCTCTCCTGCAGCAACAATAAAACAGCATCAGTGAGGATTGCTCCATCGCGTTCGTTCATTCACACACAGGCTCGCACACCAGCTGCCCCCTGAATCCTGACTTTCTTGTAACACTAAAACTCAGGGCCAATTCAAGCATATTAGTGGGCTCGCTGTGCCCATTTAACTGCCCTTCACTCCCACGCAATCTGTGATTTTCCTTGTTTCCCTGCATTGAGAATTGTGTTACGAGAGGGGCTTCAGTGATAAAGTGGGAGAGCAGAGTCAGGCCAGGAAGCAGGTGGCAGCACCTATGCTGCAGTGGAGGCTCTTGGAGAAAGGGGGTGCATGGCAGGGTGTTTGTGGTTTGTGGGAGGAAATTTTAAAGCAGTCCCAATTAGGAATAGCATCTAGGTAGCAGCGGGTTCCTCATGCAAAAAGGGCTTTTTGATGCTTGTGGAAAAACAAGGGTAGATTTTTCTTTAAATTCCAAAAGCTGTACCTTACAAACACCTGTGGTAAGCAGAACAGCTTTGCAAGCTTCTTTTTATAAAGAACAACATTTTTATGTTGTGCACAAAATGTACAGGGCTTGCATGTGTGCTCAACTAAAAGACTTGCAGGCAAAGCCTTGTGGAACAGAGGCAATCACAGCACGCAGCTGCAAAGGAGCTTTGTTAGAAACCGTAGGTATGCTGTAGATTGACAATTAAATGAGCTCAAAAAGCATCTGCCTCAAACCCCTCACATCTCTGAAAATGTCGTTTCTACTGTGCTATATTGGAATGTGAAACTCTACCGGTCCTGTTACATTCATTGAGAAGAACTTGGTGGAGCTCAGGGGAAAGAATGAAGCATACTGCTGGTTTCATTCATACAAAACTTGAAGAGCAACCACGGCTTGCAAGAACAAGCAATGAAACCAAATCAGTCTTCTAGGTATGCTTTGGCTTTCAGCATGAAAATGTGCTTAAGTCTCCCTCAAAGATTTGTGGGAGCATGGATTATTACCAGGAAATAATAAAAGTGAATGTTTCTATCACTGTTACAGGCATTTGTAATTGCCTTTCACAGATAGATTTGGACATGCTGTACCATGGCTTACTTGAAAAAAACAGTTTCGGGGTGGTATTCAAGCTAGTGAACAGGATTGTTTAGAAATGGCATATTACATGGGTGTGGGAACTACTACTTCCAAATGTATTACATTTCCAAAGGAGCTTTGGATCATTGTCACAAACAAAACATTTATACAAATTCCATTCTAGTTAGAAAAAAGTTGTTTCCTCTCATTGTCTAACTAAGTATTGTATCTTCAATTTTTTGCAACAAACACAGAGGAGGGACTGTTTTTGTCTAAAATATTGCTAATATTCATTATCAAAATTGGATCACAGAAATACAGACTCAATATACATGCAAGCAATCATCCAAACAAGTCAGGCTTTCTCAGTATCTCTCGAGGTGCTACCCCACAGCCTAATGCTTTTCAGACTGCATAAGTCCCTATAATATTCAACACGTACTTGCTTCTCTTAATTCCATCGAAATATACATCCTCCATAAAGCTACACTAAACTTCCTCAATGCTCATTTCTGTTACTGAAGCATATTCCTAATACTTGGTCTCTCTCCAGACAAAATGATGTATGCATAACTTTTTAGGTATAGCTGCAAGAAAAGACAGAATAGTGTGGAAAAATAACTCCAAACCCTGAGCAGCCCAACTTAGGTTTCAGAAGAACAGCCTACTGGCCTGCCGTGACTGTACCAGCCCAGCTCAAACCTAAGCTTGTTCTTAACAAGCAAAGTTAAGCCACTCTGCAGAGCTTCGAACTATGTTTTTAGACACACACCATATATTTGTTCCTGAATCCATTCCTTCTTTCTGAACCGCCATCATTTGTGTGCATTTCTAGTAAGACACTATGCCTTTCTGGAGCCGGTATTAAGTATTTTTTTTCTCAATTCACCCTTTTTTGTTTCAGATCCATTTTCACTGAATACATGTCTCATTTCAAATGGAATTGCATATTCTTTCTTAATGTCTGTGGCCTGTGTGCAGCTTTCTGTCCTTATCATTTGCATATCTGCTCTATCTTGCATAGTACATGAATTTCCTTAGCTTGCAGATGCCTTCCAGATCATCAACAGGGAATTTTGAGGAGCTCGAGCTACCCTAGGACATACAACCCAGCAAAAATGATTTATTGGTATTTGTCATATACAGCTGATTTACTTAGAGCATCTGCATATCTATGTGACTACTGTATATGAAGGATGAATTATATACCTACAACAAATTTTAATTATCACTTTACAACTAAAATCGGATTAATAATTACTGTATGATCAATGGATAATGCATGGTGTCCCTTTTCAAAACTGCATTTATTTTATACAGATAAATCCCAATTGTTTGTGATTCATCTAACATGAAGGAAAACATTTGTTACCCATTTGTTATTGTTAAGGAGCCAGCAAACAGTAGAAGTCAGGAAGCTCCCACTGCCTCGGTAAAATGGCAGAGAGCAGAAGATTAGAGAATTTAAGGGAAGTCTGCTCAGTTGGGTTAAGGCAACTGCTGGCAAAGAGAAAATTTTTCGGTGAGACCAGAGCAAATGCCCTAAAGCATCTGGGTAGTAAAGGTCTGGGGTCAGGGCACACCAGTGAAGCAAACAAGTACTCTCTGCACCAGAAATAGAATTAAATAATGTATTTGTTAGCATTGTTCCATGGATCAGTGCCCATTTTGAGCTTTTCAACTCTGTCTCAAGCTCCTATACAGTAGGAGTAACTTGTAAAAGGCTGCAAAACAGAATCTGAAGAAACTGTTAGAGCTTTAATTTACCTGTCTGTTCCTGTCCCTCACTGACAAACACCTATTTTATGCAAGCGGCTCCGGAATGGAAAGATTTGGGAATATTCAGGAATTGGAAAGCTATAAATAATTTCAATGTGTTATTTTTTTCAGGGCTAAATACATAGCACAACCTAAAAGATGTCAAAGAAACAAAAATAAAAGCATATATATGTGTGTGTATATATACTAGACACAGCATGTTGGTTTATACATAAAACATTTGCCCACTCTTTTCTCTGAAACAATAGTTTAATGTCTATTACATTAATTAATAATAAAAAATACCCCAGACCCACCGACCCAAACTGAGAAACATACTTTGAATTTCAGTGGTCTTTTTTAAAGAAGCTATTGCATTCATATTGGGGATTTGGTGCACAATATCTTCCGGGAGAGGCTCCAGCTGCAAGAATAGAATAGAATAATATAAATTTTCAATAAGCCACAGGGAAGTAAAACAAACTGAAACAATCTAATCCTCAGGAAAAGCTCAGACCAAGAACTGGTTAACATTTTGCTGGTATCAGTTCTAAAAGTATAGCCATGATTTTGTTTTCTGTTTTCCAGCCATGTAATTGAATTCCAAGGGGCTTTTCTATTGGCTGCAAGACTAATCTATGGAGTCTCTGAAGCAGGTGCATGTCTGTGTATTATTCATTAAAAAAATGCTAGTTATTTGTGTAATTTTTGTAGGTTCCTCACAAACCAAATTCCACTGCGTCTGTATATGCAGCTGGGCACTCCAAACAAAACCTTGTTGAAGCCACACTGGAACCAAAGTGTGCACTCTATTATCTTTATTTTTCTGGGGTTATTACTTCTAACCATCTTACACATTTTAAGATTTATAGGAGAAAACCATAAAACACAGCTGCTTTTACTAGCTTTGCATTAATTTCAAATAAAGTAGTAGATAAAAAATGTTTATGCAGATCAGCAGTAAGAGTTCTCTAAGTTTTTTATAGAGTCAGCTGCATTTTCATTAGCCAGTTTTAATTCTTTGGTAGGGCTGCATCACAGTAAGTTAGCAGACGGAAGTGTTCAGTTACTGCACAGTTATTTTTGCCCTGCAATGGATAGACATGCCAAGCAAACTGTATTTTGAAATTTATACATGTGTGCTTTTTTGTCCACCTTCCATATATTTTCTCCTAGAAAAAGGGTAAAAGATTGTTTGGGCTAAATGCCCCTTCTTGTACTGTAATAACTATACTCTCCTTGAACTATGCTTAGAGTCCAGCCAGTTCTTCTGCTTCCCTGCATAGGCTGCTAAGCCTGCTTCCTGCAGAGCCAGGAGTAGCAACCGTGTCAAGGTAGACAAGGAAGAGCAATATCAATACCAATCTCTCTTCTCTAAAGCTAAGGAAGTTCGACCGTCGTTGACAGGAGACATCTGTACTGCAGACAAAACTCCTTTCTTAAGCATGCCTGGGTCTACTTTAAACTAGGTCAAGCGAAGCCCACCCAAGGAGCTTCCTCTGTGAAGTTAATAGCTCAGTAGCCATCATATATTGTCCTCCGGGTTGCTACTGCTGCATTGCTACCCACCAACTAGATAAAATCAGCTTTGATCCAAGAACACAAAGTGGGAAGCAACTGCAGTGTAGATACTCCCTTAGTGGTGCTATTTTAAGCAAGCTCAGCTGCAAATTCCAGAACTTCTGGGATCTTACCATTATGATCAGCAGTGAATGCCTGTCACTGATAAAGACATTGCAAATATCACCAGTCTTTTGGAGTCCCGGTAACTAAAATGAATAGGGCTGTTCATGTCATCATTTCCTTAGAATCCCATATGGGATTGCAGCTGGAAGATTTCCTTGTGGCTACAAACTATATAGCGCTATGGGTTATTTTCAAATAGCATAAATCACTCCATTCTGGGCAGCGAGCAAGTGCATATAGAAGTGCTGGTAGGATCTGACTGGATCCCAACTCTACTTGGTTACTGAGGAGGCCGAACTGCAAGGGAAGATTGTTGCTATCTAATGTGTACCATGGATTAGAATGAAGAGAGCAATTACAATAAAAATAATATTTACAGATACATTTGCAACTCTTAAATGACATTTGCTTCATGATCATCATAGGTTACTCTATTTGGTAAGTCTTTCAGGTACCTGGGGGAAAACTGCATATTTATGAAAATGCCCACCAACAGATCAAGCTTCATAGATTTTAGAACAATAATCCATATAACAATCTTAATAATTGATACCTTGTCTTATGTAGTAAATAGCACTTGCCTTTATCACTTGTTATTTTCTGTTTAAAGCAATCTATCATTTGGCCAGGAAGAGGACAAAATCCTGAAGTTCTGTTTGGTTGCACTGCATGCAGGAACACAGAAGGGGAAGCAAACAGTAGCTTAAGGTTCTGTTTTCACAATTTCCTAATTCCTAAGGCTTTGACAACCAATTCACTCCCCTGAAGTAGGACAAAACAGCTCCAGGCTATAACAGTAGGAATAATAGTACAAGGTATGGAATTGCCAGACTGCAAGATCTGAAAGCTGTGTCTCGCTTTGCCCTTTGAGTATCTTGAGATTCTTTCTGCAGACCTCTTGTACTAGTTATTAAGCTGGGAGCAACTGATGCAGAGATAGCTAGAGACGATTTCCTACTAAAAGGTGAATATTTTGTTGCCTTCTTCAGAGCTGGATTTTTGCAGAAGCCAAAAAATTGTCTGGATTTTTCCTAAAATATAAATGACACCTCTTTATTTATCAGTGCAGAAATAAGTTGTTTAACATGTAGGCTACATTTGAATATTAGACATATCAGATGAATATTTAGAAATGGCAGGTGTGTTTATAGAAATCAGGATAAGTTGAATTATTAAAGAAAAGAAGAAAAAGTGTCAGACATCCAACAATTATCCCAATCATTACTCCATCTGTTAGCTCTCCTAACAGATCTGTAGGTGATGTGAATAGAATAGTTGTGTTTGATCATTTCCTTAACAATTTTTTCCACAAAACATTCATGTTGTATCCCAAGCTCTGCTTCTTCTCCAGAGCTATTCTGCCTCCTCACCCTTAGGGATAGCCAAGCAAAACTTGGATCCTCCTCCATATCAGGGAAACCTTATCAGGCTCCAGAAGTAAGTTCATTACATCATATACCCTGTTCAGCCCAAATGCAGTACCGTTACAAAAACACTGTAGAAATAAAGCCAGTGGGTTATGGCAGCTATTTCTATACACTTTGAAATGAGACTGTCTGCATTTGAAAGAATGATTTCTGTTGGCAGGTATGCACTGGTTGGATAAAACCGTATAGACATAGGGGTGTCCCTGGAAAATATCAGCAGTTAGACCCAGCAGTGAACAAAAGAAATTACACCTGGTATATATGGCACCATCACCTTCCCTCCTACACTTATTGGCATTCAGATCATGAAGTCTATTAAATCTGGAGGCTAACAGAAAGGAAGCTGAAAAGAGCACTGGAAATACACTGTCAGGAAAGAAATCTTTCAGAGAAGAACAGCTCAAGTCAGCACAGAAATAACCAAACCACTGGAGAGACAGTTTGGACCAGACACAAAGGGTCACATTTTCAAAGCTTTTATATGGCTGAACTGGGCTTTTGTGCCCAAAGTAGCAGATGAAAGTAGAAACTGTGTCCACTAACCATTTTCAAAGTAGGAAAAACAATGTAAATGGGCAAAAATCACTTGGGTTGCCAAAGTCTGCCAGAGGCATATCAACAAATGTTTGAAGAAGGAATTAACGATGGAAATTTCATGTGCCCAGAAGGTGATCTGAAATGATCCTTGGGAACACGGAGAGAATCTGAAACTACAGCAGTCTGTACTGAGCTGGAAAATCTAGAAAAATCTAGCAATATCTGCATTGTCCTTAGCACTGTCATGTTTTAAAGCACCAAGATTAGCTTCAGTGAAGATTGTTGCAGAGTGCAGTTAGAGATAACTGAAAAGTGAGGCAATTGCGAGCATAAGGTAAGGAGCATGGAGAGTCCTGACAGAAGCAGAGGAAGGGGAGAAGGCAGGCAGGCTCCTCAGGGATGCCTAGGCTACAGGAGGAAGTGCTGCAACCTCCCTTTCCCTGACAAACCGTGCAAGAAGCACGTCAGCACCAAGACTGAGCTTTGCTGCTCTTAGGGTTGCCTATGATTAGAGGGCTACGTTCAAAGATCTCACAGGTCCACTGTGTTCTTATTTTAGCAATCTTCTCAAAGTTGCTGCACTTTCTGTTTATATATAAGCACTTTACGCAGGTATTTTTTGTGATCCACTGTTACAACACAGTACATAAATGAGTCAGTTTTCAGTAGGGAATAGGTTCAAAGGCACAAAGAGTCATTAGCACCTACCAGTCCCTGAAAAACAAGGGATGCCTTGGAAATATGTAACTTTGGAATCAGAATATTCTCTGTTTCCTTGGCCAAACCACTTCCTGAATAGCACTGCCCACCTTACATTGCTCCAGTTTTCTACTTGATCTAATTCTCTATTTCTGGGCCAATTTCTGGACCCTGGGTTTATGCAAGCAGCAGTTGACAGGTGGCTTAGACTCAGTGTTAATTATTTTCTCGTATTATACTCAGATTAAAAATGAGGATGTGAGATTGTGACCAAGTTTACCATGCAATTTAAAATTGATCTCAGGCCATATTCACTTCCATGAATATTTCCATTTTGGAGAGAGAAATGCTTACCTGTTCTGGCAAATAACCCCTTTTTAACGCAGTCCAGGCCCTCTTGGCAGAGCTCACTGCCTAGCTGGCAAGCAGCCCCAGATTCACACTGAATTCCACAAAGGAGAAAAATGCCAACTTTTTCTGCAGAGTATGAGCTTTCCACTTAAATTACCATCCCCTCCTAAATGCCAGCTCAACAGATTGCAAGAAAGAAGCACATACTTCACACTCTGCAAGAAAATTGTCCAGTATAAGTTTTCAAGCATGCTTGGGAGCCAACCAATCACAATGTTTTGTCAAATTCTGCTTCAGACTGAAATTCAAGCCAGAAGAATATTTACTAGAAGATGTTAAATTTAGTCACTTAGAAATGTTTTTGCACTTAGGGCCAAATTCAGCCTTGGCTGCCACAGTCAATGAGAGCAGACATGCATCCTCTGTGTGCCTTTGTTGCAGGGTCCCGCTGGGCAGAGCGCACTGTGGACTGCACTTCTCTGTTTCCTCTATGCAAAGAAGAGCATGACCCCGTCTGTGACTAATTATCACTTGTTATAGACCACGGCAAACTGCTGTACCACGTAGAGCTAAGAGACACTGCCCAAACCTGTCAACAGGTCAGAGGGACCATGATGTTAGACTGACTTCTATGCCCCATGGAAATATCCCACCTAGCTGCCTGAAGAGGGATGGGATGAGGGAAGAACTAAATCCTTAGGTTTTGACTCAAAGAGTTTTGTGCTTGAAGGAATACTTCCTCATTCTCTCTGGCTGCAGAAGAACCCCCAACTGCAAGCAGTTATGTTAGAAATAAGCTGCAGGATTTAGGATACTGAACTCAAGGAAAGCTTCTCCCTGAGGGCTTTTCAAATCCAAGTAGTGCCTCTTCAAAAGTAACGGGGAGGAAAGAAACCAGAACCTATCCTTGCATGTATAGAGCAGCCTTACCGCCACCTGGCACGGAAAGGCATAGCAGAGGTCTTTATAGCACTGAAGCTAGGATGGACAAAATAGTGTGGAATTTCCATTCTCCATGACAAAGATTTTTGGGAAAAATCTCAATATTCAACCCAATGTTCACACACTTCTTGGATAACATACAAATCTTAACATTTAATGGTTTTCTTAATTGAAGTAATATATATCTATATATGCTTTAAAAATAAGTATTTGAAACTATACAACCAATCTGTGAAAAACTGTAGAATCATTTAAAGAGTATCACAATAAATGAGAGAATTGAATTTTAAGCACAAGAGTATATCATCATCTCAGAAATGTTTAGGTTTGAAAGCAATGTCTCTTTTGTAATTACCTGAATCCATCATTTCCTTTGTTTTGACAGATGTTCTTTTAATGGACCAGTTCTCAAATCATGTTAAGAAAATTCAGGCATATTTTAAAGCAATTGATGCTTGTCCTGCCTTTTTACCTGCCAGAAGGATTTCCATGTTTTCATTTTGGATTTCAAGGGAACCCAGCTGCTTAATCTCTTCTCACCTCTTAGGAAGATTTCCTTCCAAGGAGATAACCTACAGTGCTCCTAATTAGCTCTGCAAATGGTCAAATGGCTTTTTCTCAAAGTGACATGGACATTTTCTCTTGTACACAGAAGTATGGACAAGAAAACCTGAGATCTTGAAATCTTTTTTCTTTAATTTTATATGCAAACTTTCTAGTTATTAATTTTATCTTTATAAAATTCATCCTTACCTTTACTTCTATAATTTCCTTTTTAGTTTTCTCATCGTTTAAGGAGGGATTCACACAACCAAATCAGACTGAGCCATTTCAGATACTATACGGTGTCTTGCCTGATCTCCAGTTGCCACTCAGAAAGGGTGTCGATCTCCTTTAAGATCTAGCAGTCCTGGGCCAATGTCCTGGATACCCTAAGGTACCTAAAAAGGCACTAGGCACCTCTGTTTAGGGGACTGGGTCTTAGAAAGAAACAATTAACAATAGAAGTACCTCCAGTCAGAAAAAAACCCAACAATTAAAATCCCATTTGTGTTTTCAGCAAAATTTGAAATTATTGTTGAAAAGCACTTCTGCAGAGAAGTTCAGAAGTATTGACCACACATAGATGGGGCTGATAGCTCATATAAATCCTGAGCTCTTCCAAGAAAAAGAGATCTTTTTAATAGTTTTTTTGGTTAGTCTTCAAAATCAACAACTGTATGCAGGAATTTCCTGTGCCATGCTCAAATTATTTAAAGAAGATTAACTTGATAGTGTATTCTTTTCCTAGTTGCTCTACTTGCATTCGCTAAGAGAAAAGTAAAAAGTTATCTTGCTAAACAGATCACTGTGCTACAGGCCACGTATAACTAAGAGCAAAATATATCTATTTTGGATGTCAACTTATTTTCCTTCTTGGTGTTCAGAGACATATAAGAAAAGAAAGCATTTTTCACTTGTAAGTTTGATGTTACCTCTATATGTCAAACCAGCTCTCCATGAAAGCTGGAAGTTGTGGCTAGTTTTACAATTACTCTTCTTTTAAAATGTTATTCTGCTGGTAATAGAACATATGAAGCAGTGAATTTCTGTATTGACAAGTTCTGGCCAAAAACAACAAAAGAAAAGAAAAAGTTTTCAAAAAACCCTGCGAAACGTTTATGAATACTAATCCTCAGCACATGAATAAATACATCTGACAAACTGCAGAGTACCTTACAAAGGCCTTTCCCAACCTTTCTAATTTGAGTTCAATTACATGTGTAGTGTTTAGAAACTGAAGTTCATCTTGCCAATGCTTTTAAACTAGGGTTGCACTACATACCATTATTTGTAAAAGTGAAGGGCAGATAATAAGTTATAATTATCCTATTAATCACCTGTAAAGGGTTGCAAAGGAAGAATGCATCCTCAAATTACAATAATTGGTTGTTTGAAGAAAAACATTTTTTTGTGTCCTTGGCAGGAACATGCTTGGAGTTTGCTGTGCAAGTTCATGAGTATTATGCTGAAATCAAGCGATGTATATGCTATGGGCCATGTGGTGTAGATTGCCATAAATCTATAGATGTCAACAGATGTGCTGATTTCTAACTGCTAACTAGGCAGCAGACTTCCTCATTAGTGTCTGCTCCTCGGCAACACCTTTACTTATTCTTTTAAGCAAACATCAGTTTCTTATGGTAGTGTTGGTAACAACATCCTCTCTGGAGTATTTTTCTCTTCTTAGCAGCCACAGCATATTTTCTCTTTGAAATTCTGCTGCACCAGACCATTTAATGCATGTCCCTGAAGACAAAGCTGGGAGTAATAGCACATGAGAATGCTGCTTATTGCATGAGATGTTTCAAGTTATTAATGGTCATGTTCTTTTACGTGATTCACATTTACAAGTGAATTCAAAATGGCTGCATGGTCATGTTTGTCTTAATTTTCATTTATTGAATTTTTGTCTTTCCTGAAATTTGCTTTGCTATATTTTTTAAACAGATAGACTCACAATTTATCTAATTTCCCGGTCCCCAGTTACTCCAAAATAAAATGAAAGAAAGTCTGTATTCCAGTACACTTAGCCCATTCCTTTTTCTCACAATCAGTATTTTTTCTCAGATAATGGCTATTCAGTGACAGCAGAAATAGTAGCTGGGTGTGATATAGTGTTAAAACTAAACAAGGCAGTTTTCATAAATGGGTAGCACCACCAAATGGTCGTAACTGGATAGAGGGACCCAGGCACCTACACAGAGGAAGACACATCATATCATCAGCATCATACCATTTGCATTAGTCCCACAAGGGTGCAAATTTCAGAGAATGGGTTTAGAAGGGCTATGAGAAGCCACTGATGCCGTAAGATACTACCACAGAGAAGATGACAACAGAGAATATCAATGAGAGTGCCCAGGAATGGCAGCTGATCAGGGAGGCAATGCTGTATTCACTAAGATTGTCAAATGCCTCAAGCTAGGTTTTGTAATCTATATTTCAGCACCTAACTAAAAGGACCAACACTGAGCTGAGCATCTATTTCAATAGTGCATGTGACCACACTGGAAAATTCTCCTTATGGATCTTGTCAAAGGTGATAGTAGATAAAACCTGAGGAAAGCTTTTTTCTTTTTTCTTTTCTTTTCTTTTCTTTTCTTTTCTTTTCTTTTCTTTTCTTTTCTTTTCTTTTCTTTTCTTTTCTTTTCTTTTCTTTTCTTTTCTTTTCTTTTCTTTTCTTTTTTTTTTTTTTTTTTGTGGACATGTCCACTTCTTTAAATTTCTGAGAATATTTTTGAAAAAGCTATCATTGCATGTATAATGTAAAACTTAATAAGCATAAAAACATTTTTCTCAATAGGTCATAAAGATTAAAAAGCAAAGGTTAAAAAGAACATTTAGAAAATCCTTCTATCCAGTATCCATCAGAAGACACATTACTTCACATATATTCACATAGGTATGAAGTCTTGAAGTAGAAGGGAACTGGCAGACTACCTTGCAATTTGGCACTAAGACATTTGATTGGAGAGATTATATAGCTATTACCACTTCCCCTGGGGGAAAAAAAAAGGTAACACACTGCACTTTATAACAAGATCTTGCAAAATTCACAATTTATAGTAAAGGCATTTTCTAGTGGACCACAAAACCAATTTTCACTAATCTGAATGCTTATCTTGTGTCTGTGCACATAAATAGTCCACTCAAAAGTTTCTAAATAATATATACAGAATTTGATAAATCTTGGATACTCCACTTAAATTACATACAGATCAACCTGAATCTTCATTTATAACTTTAAAAAAAAAAACATTTTTGAAGTCCTGGACACATTTTTATGAATGTTCTTCAATTTCAAAAGCCTCTGAAATATGTTCTTTCACATGCCAGTTAAAGTGTCAAAATACTGCAAAAAATGTGTCTTTGCAATATTCAATTCCTAAGACTACCAGATACCTTGCAAAAGCCATTTTTTTTTCCATGATAGTTGGCTCGAAGGTCTGATCCTGATAGACAGTATGCATACCAATGACTACCAATGATGTCAAGTCTGGCATTCAGCACAATATCACCAAAAGCAATTCTGAGGTATTAAAACTTACTCGGAACTGCGAATAATTTAGACAAACACTAAAGGATTTATATAATCATCTAATTTAGTGGTATTTATCCAAACCAGCTCATCTGAGGTCTGGTAATTTCTAAGACATGTTCAAATTGCATGTTTTTTATACCAAATGAAAAAAGGACTGATGCTATTGTTACTAAATGGAAATCAAAGACAGGATTTTCAGCAAACTTGGATCATTCTCTCCACCTACTATGATTTATGTTTTACCTCATTTCCTAAAAGGGCGTTTATACAGGCTTCGGATGCATCACAGATGGCAGTAAGGTCATGTCCTCCCTCCAGTGCCAGCACCACACGGCCATCCGCTAGCTTCAGCAATTGCTTGGTTAGGTGACCAAAACCTAGTATTCAAATACAGTAGTGCAAATAATTAAAACAGAAGAGATATTACTGGCATATTTCACATCTGCTGCATGAGAATGTAGAAAGATCAAGGATATTGCACAGGGAGCATGGGATATATTTAGTCCAGTATCCTGTTTCTGACTATGGCCCACACCAGATGCTTTGGAGTTAGGTATATGGAATTTTGTATGAGGCAGATGTGAGATAATGTCCTTCATGCCGATCCCTAATAGCTGGAGATTAGTTGAAACATGAGGTTGTCTCTCTTCTTACCATCATTAACCATTATCACCCCAGATTCTCTTCCTATTTGCACGTCAGTGTAACATATATGCATGTTATTTAGAGAAATCTGACATAACCTTGGTCACTTATGGCATCAATATGACAAATAGTATTTGTATTTAAGCTATGATACTATAATTAAAAGTAATTGTATTTTTCAAAGGAAATTTTTATTTACAAATTGCTTCTTCCTTTGTATTTGTGGTTTGAGTATAATGTACAACCATGGAGTGAAAAACAGTGGAAACATATGTTACCTCTTAGCTCTATTTTGAATTGTTTTTGGAGGCAGCACTAACTGGATCACTTATTTTGATTCAAGGTTTTGGTATAAGTTCAAACTGTCCAGAACTTTGTAGATATCTCTACCAGTATCTCTCACTCCCGACCAACAACGTTCTAAGCAATTCTGCACCACAGCCAAAAATGATGGTACTTTGTTTTATGTGGTGATCTGTAACTACATAAACACTGCCACAAAGTTTTCACCTGTGATTCAAATAAACTTAATTTATTTCTGTTTTAATGACAAGAAAAAATTTCAAGAAAAATGTTAATTTGGAGACAGGATTTTGGAGGGAAATTTTGTGGTAGTTTCCTGGGACAGCTATTGTTTTTGATTAATCTCCTTTAAGTGTAATGATAAGTAAAGCTTTGAAACTATTGAAGTTATATACCCTTCACAACTTGTTCTTAACTTTTCTCCTTGGTCTGATCTAGTTGCTCAACTGATGATCGCCACTCATTCCAGTGCATTTTATAGCCTTAAATAAAGCATTTAGAAGGTACCTGCTAAAGCCTGGGGCTTTATGAAGACAGAAAAGTCAACATCTTTTTATTATGTTCCAGTGAAGAACGTAATCAAAAATCAAAAGCTACAAAAATTACAAGCATATTTTCTAGAGGAATTTTCCAAGACACAGACTTGTCTTGATCTGGCAAACAAGTAATCACACAAGTAGTTCCATTTACATCTTAGGACTTTGTTAAGCACTTGCCCAACTATTTTTAGAATAGGGACTTTAATGATACCAGATTTGGTTTAGCCATTCAGACAAAGAAAAAAAAAAAAAAAAAAAAAAAAAAAGAAAGAAGATCTATTTGCCACTTAATCTATAGATGATTAGATGATCACAGAACACTTGAGGTGAAATATTGTTTCCTTAAGCCACTCCACAATCTTTTATACCCTCTAAGAATTGCAGGTTTGATTCTAGCAAAGCAACTACACTGTGGTTCGAATTACATATAGGGTTGAAAAACAAATAAAATCTTAAACTCTCATTTAAGCTCAACCTTTCCTCATGAAAAAAAAAACCCACCACCCAATCCTCTCTACAAAAGACCAAATTTAGACAGGATAATAAAAGCAAAGGAAGGAGTGGAATGAGGATAACCTTTGATCCTTAGCCAATTTCTACTTTCTTTTACCTACAGGATTTATTTCTGTCTGCATGTTACACATGTGATCTTTGGATTCGTAAGAAGAGAGTGCCAACAGTGTAAAAGTGAGTCGTACATACAGCATTTAAAGGAAATGAAGAAGAACAAACAGGCGCAGACTCCCCACATCTACAACTCACCCTTTGGGTCTGTGAGAAATCCAACAGCACTCTTAAGACACCATTACCCTTCATGTTATACAGCTTCTGTGAAGAAGGGAAAGCTCTACCATGTTTCCCCTGCACATTTTGTAAATTTTGTATGGCCACAAATGTTGCTACTGCCACATCGTAATTTTCTGAGGTATGTGTGGCAATAAACATAAAGACTCTCTCAATGCCTTTTTCTTCTTTTAGGCAACTATACATAATATAACTCGCAGACATTGTTACAATGTTAGTTTGTCTGCTTGGTTTCCTAATGATTTGCCTAGTATTAATGTTATAATAATCATCCCTGGCTGAGTCAGAATCCATGCAATGAACCATACAGAAAGCATCTTTCCCAACAGAGATCACGGCAACTGGATAAAGCATTGCCAAATCAAATAAACATGGTGGGGGCTTTTCTTCAGTGTAATCACCCCACGAAAGTAAAGGTGACTTGCGAGAAAGGGAGGAAATAACTTTAGCCAACAGTACCACCATCGCCTGTGACTGAATGAGTTATGGAAATTCTTAACAAAGAAACTTGGATCCTGTGTCACTGCAGCAACCTAGGAAAGATATTAGCTTCCTCAAGGAAATCCCCTGGAGTGCAGAAGTAACAAAATGGAAAGAAAGGAATCCCAGTCAAGTAATAGTTTTAAGATGGGCTGTAGTTCATGCCAAATAATTAAGAAAAACAAGAAGAAAATAGTAACAAGCACCATGAAAAGAATCAGTCATCTCCCCTGATCTAAGGACATCAAGCACATATTTGAAACCCCACTGACCAGCTCTAAGGTGAGAAAGGAGTCAGACAAGCATTCTGAATCCTGGATCTTCCAACTCACATGAATTTCTAAAAATCAGTGGCAGTGCTTGGCCCTTCTACTGTGCCTGCTGACAAAGGTGCCAATGGTGATGCTGGCTTTAAAAGATGTTTTCGGTTTGGGTATGCCATATTCTAAAACTGTATGCTTTCACAGTGGTGCATAACAGTTGTAGATTACTGGCATTTTATAAAAACAGAATTAGTTCAGTTATAAAATGGAAAGTCATGTTAAAACATCAGTGCTTGAGTTTCAGTCTAGCCTTAAATGGGCATTGCTTCTTTGAGGCTGCAGGTGCCTTCAAGCTGGAGTCTGAGTGCCTGACTCAATGACAGGTATCTTTTAATCAGAGCTTGAAATGGCCCTGGCAGTATCCACAATTATTTGTGTCCATAAACATGAGCAAAAATGTCACATAGTAGTAATAAAAAAAAGAAATAGGATTTTAAAATCCAATCATTTCAGTCAATAAGTGAGAAAAGATTATACATACAGGTGTATTTCTCAAATCTTCATGATGTGCTCAGTGAATTTGTACTTCAGAGAAGTAGCAGAATGTTTTAAAATTAGGCTCATGCAGTGTGCCAGGAAATTGTGAGCATGGCTTTGTGCCAACAATTATTTTCATAATTTCTGTAATTTAAATGTTAAAAGTACCTGTTTCCTTCACAGATCCAATATTTAGACATCCAGGGTAGAATTTGCAAAAGCACTTAGTATTCTTTTGCTATGATCCTAGTAAAGACAATGATAAACCTTCGATTTAGACAAGAATCAACATTAAAACACTACTAAGTAGTTCTGAAAATCCTACTCACCAACTGGCTTACATTTTCCTGACAAAAAAACTGTGGATGGACACTTGTACATCTAAGCAAAAAAGACTAGATTCAAACGGAAACCATTATGAACCATGTTATGTATTGGTGAAATATGTAGTATATGAGCTGTTATCTGACGACCTTTGAAGTAAAAATACAAACTTTTAAAACAAAGACATAACACGTACTCTTTAATTACACCCTTTCCCCTCCTCTAGTGCTATTAGTGGAAGAGATACAATATTCAGCTTTATGTAAGAAAACATTCTATTGTGGGAAGGCAGGAAGAGAGAAAACTAATACTGTATTATACTAATGAGCAAGCTGCTAAGCTGTTATTGAACGACACAGCGTGCTTATCACTTGAATTACCATCTAAGCAAGTAATTCAGCTTTTAGTGGATTAATATATATATAATACTGAGCCCTGTGGTTTTTTTTTTTTTCTTTTGTAACAGACAAGCTCCCCATGTGCTCCTTCTAGTTCTGCCAAACAGCAAGAAATGACATAGGTGAAGCTTCTGCCTCATTTGACCGAAGTTGCTGGAGCAACTATGATTTACCTGAACTTACTGAAAACGAAGAAAATGTTAAACCCTACAAAAAGAGAACCTGGAGTTATTTCAGTTTTCTATTTCTGTTTTTGAGGTATCCTCACCCTGACAACATGAAATGGAAAGTGGCAAACAGAGAGCAGGTAAAAGACTTCTGAACCAGGCCAGTTCCCCTCCAATGGACTCATCCCACAACAGCGTTGTGTATTACGGCTAGACGAAGTAAAGCTAACAAGTCAGAGTTTGCATGTACCACCTCCCATTGTGAGAAAGAAACATTTGAGAATGAAGACAATTTGTGAATGCTATTATTTTCACATCCTTTCCTCAGCAGACAAGGAAAGGAACCATATGGGCAGGGTACACTCCCAGGCAGCACCACAGCACTCCCTGTTTACATGAACAATCACACATGCAACTTCAATTTGCTCGCCAGCAAATGTGCAAATGCCCAGTTAGTGGGGACTAAACCTGCCTCAGCAGAAGACAGACCCCTTCCCTCTCCCCCACTGTGCATAAGGAGAGCAGATGTCTTCTGCACAGTCACTTTTTGGGTGACAGCAGGCTCAGGAGAGCGGAGCTGTGGTGCTGGCCCTTACCCAGGGAAGGCAGCTGGGGGAGGAACACGGACACGTCAACAACCAAAAGGTTGGCGAAGCTTTGGAGTTATGGAGAAAGCCTCAGCTTTCTCAGCCTCAGCAGTGGGGCCCCAACAGCTCTTTCGGCTTCAGCATCTTAAAAGCTACAATCCGACCCTAAATTACAGGCAGAGTTCTGGTGAGCTTCTCTGGCTACTCCGAGCAGCCTGGAGAGGAATACACGCAGAACACAAAAACTCCACAGTCCCTGTCCCGGACCTCCAAGCATGTATTTAACTATTATTTACCATTTAATCATGTCATTACTCTCTAATTTACTTG